GACAAATATTCGGTCGGTTAGTCAGCTGTAAAAAAAAGAATAACCGAATAGCTGAAACAACGACAAATTTTTTTTCGGTTATTATGCAATAATAATAATAAAATGAGAACATTCAGTACAAAAAGTTTTGATCCGGTTGTGGACCATTTGATTATTACTATTATCATAAAGTAGTGACAGTATACTGTAAGTAATGACCGTAAAAATTTCTTCGTCTTTTTTTCAAAGCAATTTTTGTTCCAGAAACTCTCCTAAACCTCAATATTTTGGGAAAAAAAACGAAGAAAAAAAAAACATTTGAAATGAATTGAGACTTATGGATCTTTATGATGATAATGATGGCCATTGTTGTTGTTGTTGTTGTTGTTGTTGTTATGATATTTCGGATATTATTATTTATTGTGGGCAAGTTTTTTTTTGTTTTGCAATGGCTAAATACAACCATATGAATCATTATTTAATGGTTAAAAACAACAACAACAACAACAAAAACAGCAAAATGTTCAACAAAAAGGATGAAACAGTGAATGAAGTGGCAAAAAAAAGAGAAAAAGATATCCGTGAACAAAAAATAAAAAGCTAAAAATGTCTGATGGTGAAGAATAAATTTTAAAAGTTGAAATTTAAAATTTTCAACTAAAAAATCTAAAATAAAGTTTAATCCACTGGAAGAACTATCCACACACACACACACATTAAATCTTAGACCATGATCCATGATAATGATGATGATCCTGGCAGGAAAAACAACTAAAGCTAGATTTACTTCATTAACTGTTTCTTTTATTTCCATTTGAACAAAACAAAAAGTTTCAGACAACAAAAAAAATCTTGTTTCTTGATTATTAATCGTCATATATGTGTGAATTGGAAATGGTAAAATTACACAACCAACCAAATGGATTGCAAAAAAACATACAAAAATTATTAATTCAATCCATTCTTTCATCATCATTGATCAATGATTTTCTCGCAATCAATCATTATTATGTCAAATTCAATTGGTCAGTACATTATCATCATCATCATCATCGTAATCATTGGGTACACACACTGTTATTGCAATAATGGACAAAAAAAATGAAAACGATTGATCTTCATGGCCATCTGTGTTATTCAAATCAGACATAAGAATTAATTATTGCATAAAATAAATTTAAATAATCGATTGGAGATGATCTTGAAGGGTGTGGATGGTGGAAAAACGTACAATTTTTTTATCAAACAATCAATCAGTAATGAATAAATATTGCAATCTAATTGCTGACGACATGTGTACCAGAAAATAATTACAATTCTGGAATTATGGTGAAAAATTTAAGAAAAATAAACTTATGATCTTGAGTTTAGTTCATTTCATGTTGAATTACAAATTGATGATGATGATCATCAACATCACATTTCTAATTCATTATTATTTTACATTTGTTAATAATTGAATTCAATAAATGAATTCATTGAATCACAAAACAAATTCCTTTTTATGATTTTATGAAAATAATCGAATATCTCTTGAGAGAATGAAAAAGGAAATTTCTTTCATTTTTATTTTTGTTGTTGTTGCTGCCGCTGTCGCTGCTATTACTGATGTTATTTTTTTTTCTTTGACTTGATTCAAACTGATAAATTATATATCTAGTAAATCGATTAAATGACCTTGGTTCGATGATGATGGTATGGTGAAAAAATGTCATTATTATTGTTGTTGGAATTTTTTCATTCATTTTGTTGTAATTGTACCACAATTCAGTATCAAATGACATCAAAAAAAAACTCTGTTCTTCTAAAGTTCATCTCCATTACATCTCCTTCTATGTGATTAATAATACATGGACCATACACACATTGTTCCCAGAACCTAACATTGTCCATCTTGAAATAAATTATTATTATATGATAAGCAAATTAAGAGGGAAAAAATCCGTACCTGATTGATTTAATGGCCAATTAAATGGGAAAATATAGAAAGAAAATGATTTTTGACTTTAGCTTCTGTTCATTCATTCTTTCAACGATGGCAAAAACTTAATGATTATCATAATAATCTTAATCATAAATGTTTTATAATGATGATGACGATGATGACAATTGATATTGTTTTGGAACATTGAAAAAAAGTCAAAGCTTATCAAAAATCATAACACACAATGTATTTACATGCTTTTCCATTGGTAGAAAAAATGAATTTTTTCTCGCAAATTTTTTTTCATAGGAATTTTTTTTTTAGTACATTTCTTCAATTAGATTTTCTCATGAATAAAAATGATATTGATTTGTTTTCGCAAGAATTTTGTGTGTGTTTGTGGGTGTAGTTGAAAGGTAGAAGATATAAACGGATAGTGCTTATGTAACATCAAAAGAAAAAAAATGTGTTCCTATTTTCACACATACAAATTGAAATTCCAATTTTCCCGGGGTGACAAATTACAATTTCGGCAAAAATATCATTACCGATCCAATAAAAGAACTTTGTGACAAACATGCCAAAAAAAAAAGAAATGTACAAGAGAATTATGTCAGCGGTTTTTTTTTGACTGAGGCTTTCAATAGTCAAAAGTTGAATCTTAATATTAAAAAACAGTAAAAAAAAAAAATAGAAGCGAAAATTGTCGAATGTCTCCAATGTCCCCGGGAATCTGTTTTTTCTTTCAGGAACAACTACACACACACACACAACAAGAGAATTTTTCTTTGTCAACGTTTATCACTTTCGTGTGTGTGTGTGTGTGTGTGTGTGTGTGTGTGTGTGTGTATGTTTGCTACCGATAATACCAGCAGCAACAGAAGCCAGTAAAAAAGCTAAATTTTTCTCTCTCTTTCCTTATTCAAAAGAGGAACATTTTTCTGTATTTTCAGAATCATGATGATGATAGTGATGATCCATATGAATGATAAAAAGTCAAAAGAAAAAACGACGACAAACAAATAAAAGAAAGATTCAAGACATTTTCTTTCATCTTTCTGCTCACAAACACACAACATTCTTTTCCTTTTTTATATTTTCCTTAAAAAATGTAGTTTTCCCATTATTCAAGTAGTTTTTGCTATTATCGTTGTTTTTGATTGTCGCGTTTTTGTTGTTGTTGTTGTTGTTGTTGTGGGAACACATCACCATCATTATATATTGGCCACTATATACATACTTCGTATGTGTGTGTATTCGACGTCATTCTGTTCCTTGAAAACAAAACAGAAAAAAAATTCTGACTACGTCAGAGAGTTAGTTAAAAAAAAATGTCAGAGTTCTATGTCAGGATTCCAGATCCCAGATCTTTACAATTCGTCGTAGTCGTGTGTAGTCATCGTTACCCGAGATCGGCAAAAAAAAAAGGATTTACTGTCCGAATCACACATACACAAAGCGAATTGATAGGACGGAAACTCCCCCCATAAACACGCCCAAATATCGAATAAATTTAATAATAAGGTTTCGACCATTTAAACAAGGGAATTGTGTGTGTGTGTGTGTGGTTATTTTTGCTAATTTAGATCTTTGACGAAATTTTCACTAAACCCCTGACCACCTCTAAATGAGACAGTATACGAATTTTATTTTTCAAAATATCTGACATACTTGAGCTTTTTTAATTTGATCCTGACCATCAAATCACCAAGGGCACAATTGTTAAAACAATTAAAACCTGAAATAATACCAAAATGAATTAAAAACCTAGTGATAAAACACAAAAAAAAAAAATAATTGAAGACAATCAAGAGACCAATTCAATTTGAATTAATTCTAATTGCTATTTGCAAAAAAAAACGACTGAACAAATTAAACGAAACGGAATGTGAAAAAATATTTTTTCTTTTTTTTCACAAAAATATCCAGTCTTTCAGTAATTTTCCATTTATATTGGTATTGTTGTTATGTTGTACCAGGTCCCGGATATTTTTCACCAATCGTTTTTTCGATGATGTTTATTTCTTCTTCGTTTTCATCGGTATTATCTTTTCTTGATTCACAGTTTTCATTCATTCATTCATTCATTCATTTATTCATTCATCCATTCCATTTTATGAAGTCGCCGTTTTTATATGCTAGTTATGTTTACCGTATTGAATTAACAATGAATGTACATGTGTGTGTGTGTGTGTGTCTTGGATTTTTAGTGAAAAAAAATTTATTATCCCGGATCTTGGATATATAGATTCATTAAACAAAGAAAGACAAATATCAAACAACATTCTACACATCGATGGCGACAACTATAAAACATTCTGGAAAACAAAACATTTCTCTTTTTGGAATTTCTTGAACACACACACACACACAAACACACAACTATATCATAGCAATATAATTTTAGTATATTAAAAATGGATGCAAAAAAGATTTGCTTTAATCTAATTAAGTTTTTCTGAACCAGAAAATAATAACAATTGCGGTTGCTTTGTGTATATATAAAACACAATGAAAGCAATGGATGTTTGTTTGGCCCATATCATGAATAATCAACAATATTTTATAGAACAAATTGTTGTTTGATTATGACAATTGAAGAGATTCGCAACCAGAATTATTTAAAAATTTTTAATGAATTTTTATACAATGAATTCAACATTAACACTCTTGAAAATCGCAGGAAATTATGATGATTATTATTATGGCCATCAAACACAATACCATATATTTGTTTAATTAACAAGCATTATTTCCGTTGTTTTATATTTGAAAATTTGCATTTAAAATTAGCTTTGAAAATGTTGGTATTTGAATTTTTTTTTGTTTTTGTTGGAATTCCGATGAAATTTATTTGTTTTTTTTGTGGTAGTTTTTCATTCAATTCATCATCATTGGATTATTTCTAAAAATCAAAAAAAAAATATCGAATGCGACATGACTGTCATCTGGTGGTGATAAATCAAAATAATCAATGTACAATTTCATTTTGTAACAATTTTTTCATTTTCAACAGTAAAATTCAGATTAAAAGAATAGAATAAACCATAATCGATGAGAAAAGAAAAATTTATTGGAAACAAATCAGTCATATTTATTGATTTTATAAGATAGTGATGATTATATTTTATTAATTATTATATATGAATAACGAAACCAATGAAACACTAATGTTATGCTTAAATGGCGAAGTATTGAAACAAAAAAAAAATCGAATGGGATGTGAATGGATGAAAATAAATCGAGATCGAAATTTTGAAAAAAATGGATAAGTAAAAAAATGATAATATGTGTGATTTGTACGTTTTTTTTTCTTTGATAACAATTCTTGTTGGAAGCCTTTGTTGCATGTTGTCTCATATTTGATCACATTAACGTACAGCTTAACCAACTGCTCCATTTATCAGCAACGTTATTATTATTGTTATTACTATTATTCGATTGACCATTTATAGATTGATTTGTATCATTTTTATATTCATTGGATTGTTCTTCCATTATTGAATTTAATGCCGATACATGTTGATGATGATGTTGTCGAATACGTTTTGAACGTCGTACCAATGATGATGGTGTCGATAGTCCAGTATTCGAATCATGTTTTTCATATAGATGTTCTTCATAAACATCATTATCATCATCATTGAATTCAATAACCGGTGATATAATACTTTTATTATCCGTTGTTTTTTTTGTCTTTGATGGAGTTTTTTTGGCAGATTTTTTTGATGGCCGATATTCATCCAAATCATTATCCATATCCACATCATCATCGACAACAACGATTGATTTTCGTTTTTTTACTTGTGGTTTTTTATTACTTTTTTTCTGTGCTGATCCAATAATATCGGATTTTTTATACGGTGTTTTTGTCCATTCTTTTTTGGTACTAGATTTTGATTTTTTCTTTGTCTGCTTCATTTGTATAGGTGTCGATGTCATCATTATAGAATATTTGGATTTTTTTATAGCCGGTGTCGGTATACGTGATGGTGTTCGACTACGTGTTGATCCTTTGTTGGAGAAATGAATTAAAAAAAAAATTCAACGATAATGAAAAGAAAAAAACTTACTTGCAACCGATGGTTTTGGTGTACTTGTTGAAACCATTATTGAATTTTTGTTGAATTTCGAATGATTTTGAATTCGAACGAATGTTTTTGGTTGTGAAAAAAAACCAAATTATAACCAGAAAAAAAGGTACACAATAATGAGAAGCAAAAAAAAAAAAATCCAAAGAAGCGCCAAATTGTTATAAACAACAAAAATCATATAAACACGCACAACTAAACACCATCATCAATGGATATATATAGAACTAGGACATAGCAAATGTAATGTAATGTATGTATATTGCTGCTTGAATTCAACGTTTCGTTTACTGTGTCCAAAGATGGCGTCGATTGTATTGATATGTATGGCAAAGTCACAATGCTAAGTATAAAGAAAGAAGGTGGCAAATGTACAACGACCGTTGTTGTTGTTGTGGTCGCGTGAAATGTGTGTATTGTAACCAATAATTATTAATGGCGGGAGGATATTTACGATCGAAAAGAGCATGCGTGAAATGTGGCAAATTTTTTCTCAATTTCTCTATTTCGACCATCGTATGCATATGCAATGTGAAAATAGTTTTTAAGGTGTTTAAAAAAAAAATTTTTTTTAATTGGCAATTTTTAATTTTATTCATTTATTTTGGTAGCTTATTCAATAATTAAGGCCACAGTTTTGGTTCATCAATAAAAGCATACAATAAGTGAATAGCATTCATGATAAATGATTGATCGAATAAACATTGTTTTAAGATGTACCAAAATAAAAATTTATCACACAATGACAATTAATAAATGGAAAAAATCATTACCATTGATAAATCACAATGAAAACTGTTTTTTTTATAAGGAAATATTGTTAGCCAATCAAAAACAAATTTATCAAGAGAAAATGTGATAGGGGTCATAAATTTTCCTGTAATAAAGGTTGTAATGATTGTGACATATTGTGCGATTGTTGAAGCGGTTGATGTTTTTGATGGTGATGGTGATGATGATGGTGTGGGTGATATTCTTGAAACGTTGATGGCGTCATCGATATCGATGATGATGGTCCAGAAAATAATGTTGTTGTTCGCATTTGGCTAAAATTGAAAGCCAAATTATTATCCATTAATAATTGAGCTGCTGGTGATGGTATCTTCGGACAGATATTTATACGAACAAAAAAATTATAAATTAAATTACATGGTATGGCGACTAGTGGACGTAAAACATTTGGGAAAAATGTTTCGAATGCAAATGTATCGGATAGATCGCCACGTGTAATCGTCGTATCACTTGTATCCGATGTATAAAGATGTCGTGTATGTGGCTGTAAGAATCGAAGATATAGCCATGATGTTAATATACCATAAATTAATAGAATCACTTGGACACCATCAAGTAAATTCAATGCATACAATATGGTGGCAATCACTGTGTTTTTCAAATGAATGTAAAATTAAGTTGAAAAAAATTGAAGTGAATAAAATCTACCTGTTATGGTGAATGCAATGTGATCATTTTTTAAACGTCCGAAAGCTGTTGCAAATAATATGGATTGTGGTAACAATTGTTTAACGGTAACAGATATTGCAGCATAGAAACCAAAAAATCCATGAATACGAACATTGAATAAATAGCTACCATCATATGTAAGACAATATAAGATTACATAATGTATTGATGTTAATATGGCGGTTGGAATTAATGTTATCACCATAAAACGTAATACCTATTTGTTTATAAATCAAATTTAGAATCAGTAAATAATGAATCGATCTCTAATAAATAAAAAACGAACCTCTTTATGACCCCAAAGTGGTTCGATTAATGTACCACAAAATGATAATACCAATAGATCTAATATAATCCATGCTAAACGTGTTTCAAGAAATGCGTGTGACCATAATGCAATAACGGTGTGATACCATTGACCGGGCGATATAATTTCACCAGGTATTAATGCAAAAAAATCAACAGTTATTTCACCACCAAATTGAATTAGATATAATAATATGATTAATCCGGAAAATGATTGCACAATCGGTGATAATTGTGATAATAATATGATTAAATGTGAAAAAATATAATTCATTGTACGACGAAATTTTTGCCAATAACTGGTCTTTTGATGGATGGCCAGACCACCGCTACCAATATCGCTGTTGGAGGCCTGTATTTTCAATTGTACCGATGACTGACGATCATGACGGGTTGAATATCCAGATGCAGATGATGTTGTTGAAGAGTTTGGACATTTTTTTAATGGAATTTGACCAGCATTTATTGTAATGGCTAATGATGATGATGATGAGGGAATCGTTAATGATTCGTTTGTATTTGTTGGCAATATCGATATGGTTGTTGATGGCGGTGGTAATGGTGATGTTGATGATTGCATCGAAGTGATTAATAAAAATTCATTTAACGTTAAACGAAAATAATAAAAATTGATTGATTGATGATTCAAGAAAATTTTAAACACATTCAATATAACCTGCTAGCTGGCTGTTTTGGTGCATCTGGGTCGTTTGTTTGTTTATTAGTGTGACACATCAAAATCAATACAAAAAAAAAATCATTCGATTCTCGATTGTCCATCCATAGACATTGTTACCGAAATTATTTTTTTTTTCAAAAATTCAATTAATTTTTTTTCAACAAAAAAAACTAAACATTATTTTTACAATAAATTTTCCTTTAATTATCATAAGATTTGAAAAAAAATCCTTACAAATTCATATTATTTAGATTTTTTAAATCAAGAAGAATAAAGAATAGCCAGAGAGAGAGAGAGAAAGATAATTATTCTGCTTCATAATATAAATTGCTATACAGCACAGAAAATACTACAAACATCATGATGATAATAAAATAATATTGATAGAGAGAGAGAGAGAAAAAAAAGTGAAAAAGAATATGGATGAATAAAATATTTAGGAAGCAATCATTCGATAGTGAAATAAAAAGGAAAAGAATATTCTAATAAGATTATTGAAAAATCGATGAATGTATTCTATACCATGAGAAATAAAGAAAGAAATTCTGCAATTTTTTCACTGGTTTTTTCCAATTTGATAAACTCTGAAACTAAATGTTTTTTCTTCGAAAAAAATTGATCCCGTAGCATATTATTATAATGGATCGGATAGCAATAGTAATTGTTATAATTTTAAATTCATCAATCAGGTGATAAAATTATTAAATCGATCAAATGAATCAATATCGATAAAGATGATGATGATGATGATAGTTTCATATTTATAAAGAGAAGATTCATGAATTCAATAAAAAAAATGTCTGGGTGGGTGGTTGTATAAAGAAGATTTACAACACTGAAAAATTTTTCTAGGACAAAATTGTGTTTTGTTTGGTCATCGGAATCTGGGAAAATGTTTAAGAGCTGCTGAATGATGACCGAATGGTGATAATGATCAAAAGAATGTCGTTTGGAAGATATTTTTTTCAGGAATTAAAATGAATCTGGTCGTTACCAGTGCTTATGTTGGTGGTTTAGTCAATTATGCTGGGTGGATGAATCGTATATTCTTTTCCTTATTCTCTTGTCCATTTTATAGGTTAGGATAGATTAAGGTTATGTTGAGCATTTTGATGACGCATCAAACTATATTTTGAACTAAAAACTTTTCCACAATCCGGATACGTACACATGTTTGGATTAACGGATGAATGTAATTTTTGATGTTCAGCAAGATTATATTTACGAACGAAAGATTTTCCACAATTTGGCCAATCACAAATAAATCGTCTTCCGGTGTGTATGTTACGATGTGCTTCAAGATGCGGTTTCTGTCGGAAACGTTTGCCGCAATTCACCCAATCGCAAATATATGGTTTATCCACATCACAACAACATTGACAATTATTTCCACTTGAGGAATTATTCTTTTTTTTACTACCGGCATGTCCTTTTGATTTGGTATTTTTTGTTTTCGTTATACCGTCACCATTTGTATGGCTACTGATTGTAGATAGATTCACTGTAATCAGATAACAGAAAAAAAGAACAATTAATTAATTGAAAAAATTTAACAATTACTGTTTGAGAAAAACAATTCAAAATCACTAACAACCAAAAGATTGCGATGCACCACCGGTAGTGACTAGTTTAAATGGGGAACGTGCGGCAGCATTAGCCAAAACGGCCATTACATTGGCACTTGTCGCATTTGAACCTTGCGTTACGGCTGCAGCAGCAGCCGCACCTAATGCTAATGTTGGAAATAAATTCGTAGCTGCCGCCGCTGTTTGATTATGTTGTTGTTGATGATGATGATGATGATTGTGTTGTTGTTGTTGAATTTGATTCTGATGTTGTTGTTGTTGATTATGATGATGATGATGACCAACATTACCCATCATCATTGCAGCACCAATATGCCTGAGATTTGAATGTGAAGATGATGATGTATTCATCATCGTTTTAGAATATTTTTGTTTGCACAAATTACGAAAAATGTATCAAATAAAATTATATCAATCAAAATCAGGTGACTAAAAAGAATTATATTAATTTTGATTCTAAATGTTTATTATTCTTTTGCCCCTTCATATAAGAAACAAAAATACAAAATCTTCAAAGAGACAGAGAGGGAAAGAGATGATAAAAGTAACATCCACAACAAACAAACAAACCATTCAAAGTTGAATAAGAAAGAAAATTTACTCAAACTAAGAGAAAAAATCTCTTGAAACTTAAAAGCTTTTACTACTACTCCTCCGCCTCTTATTTTTCTTCTTCCTCACCATCATCATCATCATCATCATCATCACAGCATAAAAACACGACCAAACCATTCATACCATACTTTCAAATAGGATCCATTCATTCAAATTCAAGCCAAGACCTAACAACAACAATGTGTATTACATCTCATACATTCACAAAAACATATATACACCACAAGGGGACATATAAACAAGTTAAAGTTAGGGTATAGTATATTCTCCCTCTCAATCACACCCTCAAACACATATACAGACATCATCTATAACACACTACATCTTTTCTTGCTATTTTTTTTGTTCTCTCCCTATCTTTCGTCCTCATTTAAATCAAATGGGGAAATTCAGAGGATTCTGAGTTTGCTCATTCAGTATCATTTGTATTTGTGTTTGCTTTACGTATGGGGAGAAGTTGTTCCAATCTCTCTCTCTTTTCGTTCGTTTATTAATTTTGTGAATTTTTTTCATTCACATAGATATTTCGTTCACAAGTTTTTCATTTCTATCTATGTAAGTAGACAATGATGATGAAAAACTTTTAAAAAACAGTTTTCCCCAACAACCCTACTGTTTGAAAAAAAAACTAAAAATGTGAGATGAAAACTGTGATATTCATTCTATAAATGGACAAAATAATTCATCAAGAATTCTAGGCATATAGATGATGATGATGATAAAGGCATTTATTTTTTTAACGATTCCATCTCTCTTTCTCTTACACAATTTGGTAAAAGCAAAAGGATATTTTGGTACAGACGAAGAGAGAGAGAGAGAGAGATGGCAGACAAATAACATTTGTATTCAATCTTCCACATATATTCATTCAACGTAATACAGGGAAAACTCTTTGAATTCAATGGGGGGGAACAAAAGAAAAAAATCATTGACCAATTACATGAACAAATCTATCATCGATTATATAATTGAATAAGTAAATTTGAAATTTCATAAAATTCATCATCATCATAATGACAATATTAAATTCGGTGGTTATTATTATGTTCCATATGATGATGAGCTTTTCGGTGAAGTTTTACTGTATACAAAAAAGCCGTTATATGTTGGGCGCCAAAAAAAAAACTTACCCAGTGTGTGTATACGAGTATACTGTGTCTGTATTCAATCTTGTATTTCAAAAAACCGTCTCTCTCCAAGAAAAACCACTGTATGTGTGTGTATTTGTGCATTAGAAAGACCAAGGAGAGGGAAAAAGATGGTTTTGGGGGGCCAAAATGGCGGCAATGGCAACTTGAATATTTCGTGAACATAGTCTGTGTAGCAATGTAGCTTATTCGAAACAATACTCATATATGCAAGCGATTGATAGGGAAAAAACCAATTACCCTGAAGTGTCTGTCGTTTATAATGCGCGGCTTATACAAACTAAAAAGTGATTTTTGTAGAAAAAACGGCATGCGCGGTATAAACGAGATTTTAGGGTAGTATTAAGATAGCGTTTAACTTGGCTGGCTGAATGATTCAGCGAAGGAAACGGAAAAAGATTTTTGTTGATGGAAGGAACTAATCTATTCTCACGGAATTCAATGATAATACACAAAACATACACATGGTTAATTTTCAAACTTACCAGATAATAATTCATTTGGATTAAGATTATTATTATTAGCCGATGTTCCATGATTTTGTGTAAAACTTGATAAAATTTGTTTATATTGTTCCAATTCCGTTGAATATTGTTTCAATTGTTGGCGTAGTTTATTACATTCATATGTTTTCGAATGCAATTTATTTTTAGTTTGTTCCAATTCAATACGCATTGATTGTAGATCCAATGATTGATTCATGTCCATTTTTTGTTGATTATTATTACTGTTATTTGTATTATTAGTGTTATTAAAAGTGGTTGATGATGATCCAGATGACATTAACATTATATCCGATGAGGGTTGTGATGATATTGTAGCACAATTTGAAATAACATATGACATTGGCAATGTATTCGTGACCAAATGATAACCAGATGATGATGGATTATAATGTTGTTGATGACCAATAATACTTTGCATATTCAAACTTCATACTTGCATCCGTAATATTTTGGATGTTTGTTTGTCCGGGTAAATTATTGTACAAATGGGATAAGATTCTTTAATCACAAATCAATGAAAAATAGATGATTCGGTTTTCCGGGATTTCAAACAAAAAAAAATCAAAACAAAACGTATTTACGTCGACAACGAATGTGGTTCGAGAGATGGAAAAAAATGTGAGTAGAGAGAGAGAGAGAGAGAGAGAGAGAAACTCACTCTCTTTGTCTCTCTCGCTCTCTCTCTCTCGCTCTCTCTCTCTCTCTCTCTCTCTCTCTCTCTCTCTCTCTCTCTCTCTCTCTCTCTCTCTCTCTCTCTCTCTCTCTCTCTCTCTCTCTCTCTCTCTCTCTCTCTCTCTCTCTTTCTCTCTCGCTCTCTCTCTCGCTTACATTTTTTCCAACTTCGAGAACAAATTTCTTGTTTCTGGATCCATTTGAATTGGGTTGTTACATATTTATTCAATGGATATAATTCGAAATAATTAAAAAAAATTACGGAAGGAATTTTAGATTCGAAATATGGAAAAAAAAAAAAACAAAAATTCAATTCGAATTGATGTGTGATTGTGTGACATTCACAAATATCGAATATAGAATTTCATAACAATACGAGTAGTAACGCCATCTATTAGTTAGATAAGTATTTACCATTGTTTTGATGACTTTGTTTTACCCCGAAAGAATTTTTCTCAATAAAAAATGAACCAAAATCATGATAATAATAATGATGAAACGAAAATTCAAATTTACCGCAGTCAGATGATGATATTCATCATCCTATTCATAAGCTATGCATTTTATTATCTAATGAGAAAAGCATTTTCATTAATTTTGCCCGAATTATTAATCACATCGATTATTGATCAAAATGATGCCGGTATAATTATATCGGCACAAAGCATTTCCTATACGATTTCAAAATTTATTGGTGGTTTACTTTCGGATCGTATTTCGGCAAAAATTCTTTTCATCAATGGTTTATTCCTATCAAGTTTGACAACAGTTTTTTTTGCATTTGTACCACCAAAAACAACATCATTTACTACGCTATGGTTTCTAAATGGTCTAGCTCAAGGATTTGGTTGGCCATCATTAGTAAAAATTCTTCAACAATGGACATCATCCAAACAATTCGGTACATACTATAGTGTATTAAGCGCATCAGCAAATGTTTCCGGTGGTCTATCACCTTTACTTGCTACATTGATGACAATGAATTTTGGTTGGCAAAATACCCTAATATCGTTCGGTATTGTTTCCATTTTCATAGCCATGTTATCATCGTTGATGTTATCTAATCGACCCGAAGATATTGGTCTGGCTGCTATCAATCACGACGATGAAACAGTGCGAATGCAAAAATCGTTATCATCATCAATAACGTTGAAAGAATTATTAAAAAGTCCATTCATATGGTTATTATCAATATCATACCTGGTTGTATTTGCAGCCAAAACAACTGCCTGTGATTGGGGACAACTTTACTTAATGAATGAAAGACAAAAATCACAACTGATTGCATCAAGTTTTACATCAAGCGTTGAATCTGGTGGTTTTTTTGGCGCCATCATAGCCGGTTATCTTAGCGATCGAATGATTGCCGCAAAAAAGACGACAACAAAAACATCAAATTCTTGTGATCGTTTACCGGTTGCAACGGCAATGATGACATTGTCTGCGCTTGCAATACATTCATTATGTTTTCATGTTGGCCCATCAACATCACATATATTCATTGCCATATTAGGTTTCATTCTTGGTCTTACATTTTATGGTCCAATCATCATATTCGGTATGGTTGCAACTGAAGCTGTTCCAACAAATCTTAGCGGTACATCACATGCCATCGTTGCATTGGCTGCTAATGGTAAGGTTTACTTGATTTTTGGTTCAAAATTTAATTTAATTTTTTTTTTGACACAGTTGGTGCCATCATATCTGGTTTACCATTTACAATGCTTGCACAGACATATAGTTGGAAAATGGTATTTTTCCTGTTGGAAGTATCGACTGTTTCAATCATACTATTATTGACCATTTTTGGAAATCGTTTACGACCCGATTTTGTTCCAAAGAAAATTGATTAATAATCGTGATCTATAGATCCATACTTGATGAACTGTGATTCCATATAATCGAAAATGAAATACTCTTTAATATAAACTCGTTTGTTATATTTTTAATAGATAAATCTATCTATCTATCTATCTATGTATTTTATTTTTTTATTTATTTGACGCTTAGGATGTGTGTAACTGCAGTTTTTACACTCGCCAAGTGCTCGCACTGTGTATTAACTTGGCATTTGATGCGGGGAAGCCGAGCCGGCCATTCTTACTTATTTTCAGTATAAACATAACTATTTGGTATGAGCTACTCAGTGTGTGTCTGAGCATGCGGGAAAACTTTTGAATGCCGCTGAACAGTTTGTCCAGCTCAGAAGTAGAAGTCGCTTCCAAAGAAACGCATTCTGTGGTATGTAGCTTTGACAAAGCTTTTTTTCATTGTTCTAGCTCAGCACACGTTGCTGCAGCTTTTGCATCCAATAGATGGTGCAGTCATTCAATAGAACATAGAAAGAGTTCGAATTCGAATTTTTCGAATTGATTATTGTGATAATACATGTGTCACACGTGATTTTCATTTTGTGTGCCTGTGTGAGTGTGTATTTGATGATGAAATAGTGCACACTACCATACATTGAAAAAATGGGGAAAAAAGTCTATGTAAGCCACGCATTTTTTATACCAATATTTCAAAACAATATAACTGTTACTGTACAAAGTTTGCCCTCTTTTCCCGGTAGGATTTTTTTCAATGTACATTTGATTGACAAACCAAAGAAACTATGACATTTTGGAGAGTAAATATTTTGGCTCCGAATGTGCACCAAGTAAAAAGTTTTTCGAATCCATCATGAAAATCGGTATTATTGATTCATTCGTTAACTGGAATTGTTTCAAACAACAATTTGAAATGGACGCCGAAATATGTTCAAAAAAAATCACTAACTTTCAACATTTACCGAATCTTGAAGACGCAAAAAAAGCGGGAACATGCAATTCACTGTATTGTTCATTAATTGTGACAGAAGGTCAATCAGCTACATCATCGGTTACTGCAAGATTAGGTGTTGAACGTGATAAATTTGGCATATTTTCATTGCGTGGTAATATGTTGAATGTCCGTGAGGCATCGGATAATCATATTATGGCAAACGCCGAGATTAATAATTTGGTGAAAATTCTGGGTTTAGAATTCAATAAAAAATATACATCTATTGATGATTTGAATACACTCAGATATGGAAAGGTTCTAATTATGAAGGACCAGGACCTAGATGGTTCCCACATTGCTGGGCTAATTATCAATTTTTTTCATAAATATTGGCCATCATTAATTAATCTGCAATATCTTGAACGAATTATCACACCAATTGTAATGGTCAGCAAAAAAAATTTTTTTCAAACGTCTATTCTATTCTCTTCCCGAATTCAATGACTGGAAAGATGAAATTCCCAACATTGAATGCTACAACATCAAATACAACAAAGGTATTTTTTTATTGATTTTTATTTTCTATTTGAAAATTCTAATTTTTTATTATCATTTGTTTGTTCAAAGGTTTAGCTATTAGTTTGTCATCGGAAGAGGCAAGGGAATATTTTTCGAACATGAAACGTATCAAAATCCGTTATTGTTGATGTTTTGTGATAATTAGAATGATTATTTTATTGATTATTTTAATGATAAATTTAATAAGAATACATGGAATAAAGAAGATCAATTAATCGAACATAAACGTTGACTCGTTCAGAGTTATATTTTTTTTTTTATTAGAACAAACATCAAGGCACTGAAAAACGTGCTCTCTTATATGTCATTCATAAACTATGTATATTCATGAACAGGACTGAGGGAGAAACCATTGATTTATTAACAGTTATGATGGTGATGATGATGATAAAGCCATAGAATTGGCATTTAGTTCAAAAATGATTGAAGCAAGAAAAGAGTGGATCCAAAAAGAAATTAAAGAACGTCGCCAAAAACGAAATAATGGTGAAAAAGATTCCTATTCTCTATGAACATGATACACATGAAGTAACAATCAGAGTGCTGCAAAATATTCTGACACGTAGTCTATGAGTGGACCACGACACAGCAAACCTCGTGTATGACCGCGCGCGCTTTGTTGATCCCTCCCCGGATCTTTGACACACACATTATCCTTTGTCCACACACACATTGTCCTTTGACACACACACACTTTTCGTCTTTCGTCACAAAACCACGTTTTTCCAAAAAACACTAAAAAACCACGTTTTTGCACACAACACACACTCATGTTCTTGCTTTCGACCAGATCGGTCATCTCCATTTCTTTTTTATTGTCTTAATAAAATTATTATTATTATTCGTTTTTTCAACAGACATTCTCGAGTTTATTCAACACAGAGATTTTATTTATAAAGATTTAATTCATTATTTAATTATGAATAATGAACGTTCGATACCAAAATTAGTGGATGGATTTAAATCTTGCCAACGAAAAATAATCATTACTTTTTTCAAAGGTTATGATAAACATGAAGTACAAGTGGAACAATTAACCCGATCGGTTTGTGAAATGACAACTTATCATCATGGACAAATGTCATTGATGTTGGAAACAATTATTCTGGCCAAGAATTATGTTGGCACAAATAACATAAATTTACTCGAACCAGTTGGACTGTATGGTACAAGATTGGAAAGCGGTAAAGACGTTGGCAATCCTCGATACCTATCCACCAAGCTCAGTCCATTGGCCAGGAAATTGTTTCACACCAAAATTCAAATGAAACATTTAAACAATTTTTTCCTACCCCAAACATCCCCAAATTCACCAATATAAATTTCATCACCACACAATTTTACACAGGACACGGATATCACACTCTCCAATACAGACAAATGTACATGCACAGACATAACACAAGACACAATACACCTCCTAATACACTGCACAAACTACAACAACATCAGACAACAATTAAATCTAGAATACATAATTTCACCTCAACAATTCACACAGAACAAACAGACACACACCAAATTCATTATATTATGTAAACACATCTACAACCACCTAAAGGCAAACTAGCCGTATAAATAATTACATAATTACAATTGTTTTATTTTCCTTTTCGTTACTTATTTGGCGCCAATATCCTTATGGATAAGCGCAGTAATAAAATTATTATTATTATTATTACGTATCCGGATTGTGGAAAAGTTTTTAGTTGCAAATATAGTTTGATGCGTCATCAAAATACTCAACATAACCTTAATCTATCCTAACCTGTAAAATGGACAAGAGAATAAGGAAAAGAATATACGATTCATTCATCCACCCAGCATAATTGACTAAACCACCACCATACGCACTCGTAGTTTATTGTAAATAATATCCATGTTATCATCGTTGATGTTATCGAATTCAATCATACTATTATTGACCATTTTTGGAAATCGTTTACGACCCGATTTTGTTCCAAAGAAAATTGATTAATAATCGTGATCTATAGATCCATACTTGATGAACTGTGATTCCATATAATCGAAAATGAAATACTCTTTAATATAAACTCGTTTGTTATATTTTGAATAGATAAATAAATTATTATTATCATCATTTTAAATTAAATGTTGATACAATCGATTCGATGCGATATCTCATTCGATAAGCCAATATCGATGCTATCGATTGTTTACGTTTTTTTCCATTCGTTCGATAGAATGTTTGATTTCCTGTTGATGACAACATTTCATTTGGTACCGAATTATCTGCTTCGACATTGTCACCATCAACATTATTGTGATCAATAATTTTTGTTAAAGGTTCCATTGTTTGCATTTCGATTAGATCAAATCCACTATTGATATGTATACATCTGCATTGTGATAAGATTATCATTGTAATTGTAATAATTAATATAATAGCTATGTTTAAGTAATAAATCACTTCGATTCTGGCTAAATTTTCAATGAAATAATAATGAACGAATGACATTAATGATTGAAAAATGATTGTCATGAGAATCGTATTACGTATCCAATGACCAGTGATGGATAAATGATTGATAATTGCATGACAAATTTCATCCAACATTTGTGACACCGACATTCCGAAAGCTATATTTGCCATTATAATCAATAAAAAATGATGTTGACCATATTGGTCATTGAATAATTGTATGATGTTTGCCACGATGTAAAGAAATGCAACGGTAATGTATGAGAAACATTTGGGAATTCGTAATTGTTCACGAATGATTCGAATACAATTCGTTTGACATAATAAGTAAATTCGTATGAAAAATATCATGACTGCCATGATAATAAATAATGAAAATTTTTGATTTCCTATAGGAAAAAAAGAAACAATTCGAATATTAAAAAATTCTTCATAGATTCATTCATTTACCGGATAGAAATCTGGGATAATATTTTTGTGGCCAAATTGAACATCCAACCGGATATGAAATACACAAATGAAAAGCCAAAGCAAATTGTATAGTACCAATGATAGCGAATCCAGTTTTTTGCCATCCTTCTACTGTACGTATACTGAAATTATCTTCATCTAAATGATTATCGACATTTATTCCCGGACGCATTTGACACGCAAGTACAACACAATTCAACGTTATATAGCGCGTACAATCGTTTTCGATAGCATAATTTGCAAGAAATTCTTCAAAATCTACACCACGTACGACATTCTGTTCATGAATGGATGCAACACCATGCCATATAAGATAAGAAAATGTTGACCAATTTAATGATAAAAATATTCGACATCCAATTATTGATCGAATGAATGAATGAATAGCTGAAATATCGTTGTTTATGAAAAGATCAGAATAAAAATATAATGATAATGATAGTGCCGATAGTAAACCAGTCATAAACATGATCAAATATAATTGAACATAACGTTTGGCTTCTTTTTCTTCCAAAGGATCAATTTTTATATCAAATAATGCATAAAGTAACAGAAACAATTGTATACCACAGATTGAACTTCTTATTACATTGATAAACATTGCGATGAATGGTAAATTTAATGGCATTATAATCATCGAAATCGTATCCAATACGGTAATGACAAGAAATGCCAACCAATTCAAATGAAATATATTCAAACGATTAAACATAAATAGATGTCGTTCCGGTTCAATCAAGCAGCCGATAATCATTCCGAAAACTAATCCTATCAATCGAAGTGTAAATGTGGATATTATCGCCAATGTTTCGAATTCAATGATACCGGAGTCATTTCTGTGAATCGTTTTCGATTCTACAGGGAATAACAATGATTTTTTTATCATTGTAAAATCCGATGTAATTACAAATGCCTATATTGTCAATAAAAGAAAAGAATTTCTTAATTATCGCGATCAACAACGATTTAAAATTATTTTCAAATAATTTAATCAATAAGACAAAATTTACCAGATGAAAAATGCAACCAGCACAAACAATCAATTTTATTTGATTAATTTTAGCAAGCATACGATCAAAATGGATACGATAACGATAAATATCATCAAGATGAACATTATCGAGGGATCGATAGAATCGTTGTCTACTAGTCGATGATGATGGTGAACTTTGATTACCTGACGACCTTACGGCACCATTATTATAATAACATAATGATGATGGTTGACGTAATTCAAGAAACGATCGTTTTTTTGATGGCCACAATGTTGTTGATGATGATGGTCGATGTCGACAAATGGATTCTCGTGGACGATCCATACGATTAGAAATTTGGTAAATTCCAAACAATCACATACAGAGTTTACATAAAGCTTAAAATGACATTGAAAAATAATCGGTGAGAATTGATGTGATTTATGATTGTGTGATTGATATAATAATAATTTCTTTATATCTTAAAAATAGGATTAATATTAACACAGGGTGGCAATAAAAAAAACCCAAATGTTAAAATGATAAGACAGAGAGAAAGTGAATGTTTGGATCCATCATCAATGGACACCATCGCGACCATATTTTTGGTTCTGTCACAAAATGTCGAAAACAAAAATGTCGAATACAAAATGATCGAAAATATTTGATCGAAAATAATAAAGTCGAAACGACAAAAACGTCGAAAAGACAAAAATGTCGAAAATAAAAAAGTCGAAAATTGAAATGTCGAAAATGGCTTGAGCCCTTATCCCTTAAAATTATCACTAACGAAAAAGACTCTGTTGAGGATGAATGATAACGAAATGATTGTGGGTTAAAATAGCCAAATTGAAAATAGCCAAGGCAGAAAATATCCAAGGCAGAAAACAGCCAAGGCAGAAAACAGCCAAAACTGAAAACAGACAAGACTGAAAACAGCCAATACTGAAAATTGTCAAATCGGAAATAAACTGTTTGTCAATACAATAGTTTTATCCAAACCTCAACTTTTTTCCTTTACTAATGAACCGAGACCACCTAACCTAACCTAACCTAACCTAACCTGAATTTTTACAATGTTCAGTTTATCACAGGCCATGGTTTTTTCATGAGCTATCTTCATCGATTCAATATCAACCCATCACCCGCATGTGAATGCGGTTATGTTTACCAAGACCCGTTACACATCTTATTTAATTGTGCTCACCACCGGCTAATCCAACATCATATAATCAACCCATGTGATTTCATGTCCAATAAATCCAATTTAGCATTATTTAATAACATTTGCAAAGGATACATTGTATCCAGAAATAATTAATGTTAATATTGTAATATGATTTCTTTTTATTCTTAGCTGACACAAGTGCCGTTGAGGCAGAGTGTCTTTATAATTATAATAAATAAAATAAATCATCGACACCATCATCGACATCATCATCGAGATCATCATTGACACCATCATTGACACCATCATCGACACCATCATCATTATTAAATTCTGATTTTTTGTTTCTCTTTAATCGTTGATTAAGGATGTTTTTTTGATTTCTGAATTTCGAAATTATGTATTCCTTTATTAAAAGTTCGAAATATATATTAAAAAATATATTTTAAAAAACATAAAAAAATATACTCACGAATATGGATCTTTTATCATCAAAATTCACTGTTTGATATCTTGTCATTAAATTCGGATATTTTTCGACTAAATTATAAACTAGTAGCAAACGTATCTTTTTCTATTTTAGCCATATATGACCAAACTTCGTAGACAGTTTTGCAGTGTTCGATTATTTCCAATTTATTTGACTCGAACATCAAACGGATAGTACCGAGACAATTTTCATATGATCGATATTGAGGATCATCAGGTAGAATTTCACTTTCGAGAAATCTACTATAACCACATGAACAAAATGCGGATTTAAGGTGTAATCAGGTTAAATAACCGAAATAACTTACCAAACTATGAGTAAATCATAGATCACGGGAACAAAAACAGAAAAAATCATTCCAATGAATGCAGTCTTCAGGCAAGATTTCATCAAATACACACTCACACAGGCACACAAAATGAAAATCACGTGTGACACATTATCACAATAATCAATTCGAAAAATTCGAATTCGAACTCTTTCTATGTTCTATTGGATGCAAAATCTGCAGCAAAGTGTGCTGAGCTAGAACAATGAAAAAAAGCTTTGTCATAGCTACATACCACAGAATCCGTTTCTTTGGAAGCGACTTCTACTTCTGAGCTGGACGAACTGTTCAGCGGCATTCAAAAGTTTTCCCGCATGCTCAGACACACACACACAACACACACTGAGTAGCTCATACCAAATAGTTAGGTTTGTACTGAAAATAAGTAGGAATGTCCAGCTCGGCTTCGCCGCATTAAATGCCAAGTTAATACACAGTGCTAGTACACAGTGCAAGCGAGTGTAAAAGTTGCAGTTACACACAAACGTTAGCCTCATAGACTAGTAGATTTACCCGTTAATCCTAACAAGTGTACGTGTCCAGATTGTGGCAAAGTTTTCAGTAGAAAAAGAAATCTCATTGAACATCAAAAAACACATATTGCATATGGCATCTCTGCAAAACTATATATTAAAAATTTATTAAAAAATTACACAATGAAAAAAATCAAAAAAGAAGGAAAAACATCATTATGAATTATCACATTTTTTTGGCATTTTTTGTTTGTTTTTTTTTTTTGATTTTGATTTTCAATTTTTGAATTTTAATTTTTGATTTATGATTAATGATAATAATTAACTTTATTTTTGAAAATAAAATGATCAAAATACAGTAATACCCCGCTTAACGCTGCCCCGTTTAGCGCTGATTCGATATAACGCTGTACAATTACCCTACATTACATTACATTGTTACGTTGTATATGAAGGGTAAAAATGCATTATGTAAAAATAGCCCCGCTTAGCGCTGTTTCGCTTAACGCTCAGAATTTTTGTAACGTAACCCCCGCGTTAAGCGGGGTATTACTGTATGAAGCAGCGGATATGCAGAATATGAGAATAATTTTGGAAATTTATTTCATTCAGGTGAAAAATTCCCTGTGAATTGTGATCACGTGATGGGCTGCAATGGTTCTATTTTTCTGCTTAAAGCGCGCTGAAGATCTTTTATTTTCGTTCTAAAATCGATCGATTTCAGAACATTCTAATCACATTGTAAGACTGCGCTTTTAGAACCAAAATATCACATTTGTAGCCCACAAATTTCTCCATGGGCAATCTTGTTTTTGCTTTGTTTTATGTTTTTCTGTCAGATACTTTTTTGAAATAAACAAAAGTTATTTTTTCAACTTAACCCTAGAAAGGTAACCTACGTAAAATTTATGCTTTTTGCACTTCAAAATGTTCCAAAAAAACACTCACGATGCTAAGACAGCTGGAACCCCTTTCTATTCCTCAAGAATATATTTCTACACATTTGGAAATAGAAAAGATCCAGTTTTCGCCTTTTATCTGTTATCTATAAGCTCAGGCGTAAAAGCTTATACGTAAAATTTACGTATGATTGCCTGAATCATCATAGAAAAATCTTAGGAAATTTTTCCCAAAAAACGTCATTTATGAATAAAAATAATTTTAATTTTTTTTCTTTTTTTATCTTTTCACTTGTCAAAAACGTCGTTTTGTCGCAATATTTTTTGAAATAAACGTCTTTTCTGTTCATTTGTTTATGTTTTTCACTTTATTCAAAATTAAAATGCTTGCAAAAAGCGTTTAAAAACGACCGGATGTAAACGTTGTGGCACCGCCCCCGTGGCGAATATCAGATAAAAATTTGTCAATCATGTTTCGAAACACAATCATCGATTGATTAATCATATTTACAGGATCATTTTTCATTTTTTCTTGACGCTGTGATAATTTCAAAATTGACAATAAAAAAAAAATTCAAAATTTACACCATATCTTTAATTTGATATTTTTGAACTTTCCACTTTTGAAAAATGATTTTTTCTTCTTTAATATAAAATAGAGGTGTGATTCAATGAATAAACGTTAAAATTTAACATAAGTAATCAGATAAATAATTTTTATAGTGGAAATAAGTTAGGCATATCAACTACGTAAAATTTACGTAGGTTACCTTTCCCGCAATATCGATAAGGTTACCTTTCTAGGGTTAATAATCGGTATTTTGTTGACGATTTCACTACAGACGTAATTCAAGAAACGATCGTTTTTTAGATGGCCACAATGTTGATGATGATGATGGTCGATATCGACAAATGGATTCTCGTGGACGATCCATACGATTAGAAATTTGGTAAATTCCAAACAATCACATACAGAGTTTACATAAAGCTTAAAATGACATTGACAAAATATAATCGGTGAGAATTTATGTGATTTATGATTGTGTGATTGACATAATTTCTTTATATCTTAAAAATAGGATTAATATTAACACAGGGTGGCAATAAAAAAAAAACCCAAATGTTAAAATGATAAGACAGAGAGAAAGTGAATGTTTGGATCCATCATCAATGGACACGATTTTTTTTGTTATTTAAAAACATACAAAAATACAAAAAAATTATATTATATCAAAAAATATTACATTCAATATTCCATAGATGTCGCATGCTTCATTCGGTTAAAGATTGGAAAATTTTGGAACAAATTCAACCTCTTCAGCAAGGAATGGATCCTGAAATGATGTTCGTGGTCGATTTGATCTAGATCGATAAATAAAATTACGTGGTCTACGAGTAGTAGCTGTCGGAATGGTTTGAAATTTAGAATTTTTGTTGTCATTCATAAACACCGATAATATGCCATAACGACGGAAAAATGAATCAACATAATTGGTACGTATAAATTCGCCATCATCATCATCATTATTATTGTTATTAACATTTTTATTTTTGTTACCATTATTAGTTGATTCATAATTATTGGTCAATCTTCGATTTAATCGATCCAATAGGGCACTAAGTAGTCCATTATTACCGAAAAATAAGCTACCATCATTGGAGTTATTGTCAGCCATTGTATTAGTTGACCATAGAAGAATCAAGATGATCATGATCATCAAGAATGTCACCAAAGAAAAATGTTTTGACATTTTGTAGTTTGATCAAAACTCGAATATGAATGCAAATGTTGAAATTAACCACCAGAACCAATGATTTACTGAAATTACAATTAATTTTTGTTTAATTATTTCCAAAAACAAAATTCATCGATGTGAAATCACAGATGTTTAATCATGCATTTCATTCACAAACATTCCGGTTTGATTAATTTTGAAAATGTGAAATTTAATTTGAAATTCTTTTCTCTCAAGGATTTGAACTTGAAAAAAACAAGTAATCAAAACAAAACAATTTCTTGATGTGGCGTGATAATCATTTATTGCACTCTAAATTAGATGATTGAATGAAGACAAAATCAGATGAAATTATTGATTATTTAACAATGTAGACAAATAAATTTGCCATGATCACAGAAAATCGAAAACATTGACAAAACTAATAAAATATAAAATATCACCAAGAGGATAGGTATGAATTGTCTGATGATGATGGTGGAGAAAACAAAATTTATGTAAGAAAATTATTCTCATTATGATCGATTAATAATTTCGAATAATTGCCATTTTTACTAATTACCATCATTCTACTAGGTTTAAATAAAAGAAAAATCCTGGTCCAGACATGAACAGAATTGATTCAAACAATAAGATCGATTTCAACTCCATTAATTTGAACTTAGTTAATGTTGTATTGATCAATCAAGACAAGAATTTTGTTTCATTATTTTCATCTCCGTTTCTCTTGGTTACGATCAAGATTTGAATCAAAATCATATCATATTTCAACACTTATTATTCATTAAAGCAACGGTTTGGTTTTCACCAAACCGAATTCTGTTATCGTTTGTTTGTTTTTCATCTGGATTCAACATTTACAATGAGAAAGCAATTTTTTCAAAATTCATTCATCATTCAACAGCATAACTTCACACGTACACTAAACGATTATTGTGATGATTCCAATGATGATGGCATCCGAATGATTGACGAGTTGTGGGCGAGAATAGTCAAGTGAAAAAAAGAAAGAAATCTGTATATTACATTTGCTACGATGGCTATGTTCAGCTCAATTGAATCTTTAATTCTTAGAAAGAAAAAATTCATTCAGAGATGATATCTGAGATTGCAATTTGTTTGATGTCTGTCTAAGAGAAATATTCTCATCCAATTTGTGTTAATGTCGGCTGAAATTATGATGATTGAAACAAAGCAAGAAAGAAAGAAAGTAAACTAAGCGAATAATAATAATAAAAACGGTTACACTTGACTGTCCTCAAGATATTCTAACATTGTCAACTCATTGAATTTTAAGAATTTAGAAATTATGTTTCGTCATGAACTTTGGCGAACAGTTTCTACCAGAATAAACATTGTACTAATTTGTTACACAACAAAACATTCACAAATTCTTTTTTTTATGAAAAGAATTTAAAATTTTTTATCATCTTTTTTAAAATTTTTACGACAGCATTGATATAATAATGAATATATTTGTGTTTGTGTCTTAACGGTATAATCAACAATATTTTCCACAAAATCATTGCTTAATAAGTTTTTCGTAAAAAGTTTCTTGGCAACAAATTTATCATTCTGTTTTATTCTATTTTTCATAACAAACATTAATCAACAAAAGAGTCTTTATCCATTTGTGTATAATCGTTGTTTGAATTTTGTCTGACATATATTTCATTTGTTTTTTCTTCTGGATTCATGAATTCATCACTACAGATCATGAATTCATTTTCGACTGTGATATTGCTAGTGTTGTTATTATTTGGCCTTCAATATGGAAAGATTATCGTGGTGAATGCTACTTGTTTGGATCATATCACCGTTGATAATGATGAACAACATTCAATTCATAAACGATCCATCGATCATGATTTTGGCATACTACCAGATGTTTATTATCAAAATATTGCACCAATGCAGAATGGTCAACCTGTTCAAGTGAAAGTGTCTGTCATTATATTGAATCTGAAAATTGGTTCCATTTCTACACAGGTAAACTTTTTGGATTTAAATCAAAATCAAACAGTTTTAGATTTAATCAATTAGGGCAAGTGTCATTCAAATTAAGTTTATTTTCAATTTTTTTACTTTGATTTAACTAGGATTTTGAAGTAGACATTTTCTATCATCAACAATGGAATGATCATCGTTTGCAACCACCGACAAATATCGAGGCAATGACAAAGATGAAAACACATGATTCAAATATTGTACAATATCGCTTGACGGACAGATGGAAAAATCGTCTTTGGATACCGAATGTTTATTTTCGAAATGCCGTTTCTGGTTCCATATCGAATATTCTGACACCAACATATTATTTTACTGTTACGAACTATACTGAAGTATTTATGGCTGTACGTTTAAGCCTTAAACTTACATGTCATATGAATTTCTATAAATTTCCATTTGATACACAAATTTGTTACATTAATCTTACATCAAGTAAGTATCGATGAAATAGTTTCATTTTCATTCGACTAATTATTTTTCTCATTAAAATAGCTTCAGATGATGCAAATACAATGCTTCTATCATGGCATATATTTCGTATTGGCAGTCATGTTGATGAATCAGAATTTACTGTTACTCAGGTGGATCATGAATCTGATTGTATAAAACGATATAAATTTGGCTCCTATTCATGTCTATATGGAAGTATTATATTTAAACGAAATATTGGTAAATATGTTATCAAACGTCTTGTTCCATCATTTATTATTGTTGTCATAACATTTATTGGTTTTTGGATACCTACAAACATATCACCAGCAAGGACCGCTCTGCCGATCACTGCATTGCTGGCACTAATCACACAACAAATTCAATCCGATTTAAATGTATCATATGTTTATGCATTACAAATATGGAATATTGTCTGCATTATATTTGTATTTGCAAATCTATTGGAGTTTGCAATTGCATTATATATGATACATTGTGATCAAGAACAGAAATCAAAAAAACATGATCCACCACCATCACTTAGCATCTGGAATGATGGTAAAGAAAATGTTAATAATCAACAACAACAACGGCAGCGGTCAACATTAAAACGACGAATGTCACAACATTTTCAGACTACAACAAGACATGCACAGATTGATGTTTATGCCCGTTATATTTTTCCATTATTATTTTTCTTATTCATTTTGGCATTTGCATTTTATGTATCTACAGAATAAACGAAAATTTTAAAAATTTTTTGTACTTGGAAAATCAAACAACTTAAATTTATTTAGAAAGCAATTTCGTTTCGTGATTCCTTAACCTCTTCATACAATACATTTGAAAACGAAACAATAAAACACTTAAGAATCGATTCATTGATCAATCGTTAAATTTATTGCTAACAAAAAATGAAAAGTTTCCAACAATTTTCGAAGTAAATGATATGAACCTCGTTATTCTGTCACATTATTGGATAAAAATGATTTCTCCCGCGTTTTTTTTTCAAGACCAATTGAGAGAGAATGTTTTATTCAAAATCATCATCATCATCATCGATTTGTCAATTACGAAATGAATGATATTCAAATGTGATAATGTTGTGGGTTTCCACCATATTCATTTTATGAATTTGTCGATTCTTTTTTTTACATTTGAATTGAACAAAACGATAATGATAATATATACGATATAACACTATTATTTACATGCTAACAACAAAATGGCATTCAAATAATGTTTACCCTTTCAATGAATTTTTTTTTTTGAAAATTTGTTCCAAATTTCCAAACGGAACATTTCACACACACACACATGATGATGATGAGTTGAATGTAAAAAAAATTGTTTTTTTTTCTACTGCTTTTAACAATTTCAAGTGCCACTGAATAGAATGAACAAAAAAAAGGGAAAACTGTATTGAATCGATTGAATGAAAAAAAAGAGAGAAAAAGTGAGCGAGATAAATTCATTCATTCATAATTATAGAAATGTAGTGAATGAACGAATGAATGAATAAATGAATGTTATTCACAAAACATCAAGCATCCAATCAAGCATAGAGGTTCGAGATAAAAATGTCATTTAATAGCTTGTGTGCAATACGATCAGTACGATTTTTTACTTTTATTTCCATTCATTCATTCATTCATTTATTTTGAGTGTCGATTACTGGCCGATTTCAAATTGAATAATTCTCTGGTTAATGGTTAACTAATGGTTGTCGTCCGTCTTTTTTTTTAACATCATTACGTTATGATCATTTAAACTTTTAAAAATCTAGTTTATCCAATAATGTTGTTTCCATGATTTTTTTTTCTTGATTTTTAACATTGTTCGAATATAATTACTTTGGGTTTTGAGTAGATGGTTTTTTCACTCAATTTCCTTCCGGCTATATCGATCCAATGGTGATGGCATTAATTTATGACATTGAATATAAGAGAATATCCAATTTGTCCAAAAAAAAATGAAGTATGGATGATCATAATTGTCGTTTAAGAATTTCACGATGAGAAAAAAATTTCAAAATCGATTTTTTTTTAATTCTTCAAATGTATAGAAACAGAAAAATGATTGATAAATTTAATTTGAAAACTTTTGGATTTGAAAAAAAATTTTGTTTCTATTATTGGACGGATACAGGAAATGTAACGATAATTGAATGATCGATTTGTCATCATCATTGTCAGAAATCAGAAACAATTGATGTTTCAAATGTTGAAATTAATTCATGCATGATGAGTGATTCTACCAAGTGAAAATTGATTTTCGCAGACATTATCATTTCGTTTTATGAAAATTTCATTTAATTCTATGCTGTGGTCAGTGTATATATTGAATATAAGTTTTGTTTTATTTTTGACAAGATTAGACCGGATGTCATAACAAACACACACACACGCACGAAAAAAACCATAATCCTAGAGTGTGGGTCAAATAACGTAACAATTGAAAATTTTCTCATTCTGATGACAACAACAATAATAATCTTATTATATATTTATTTGTGAAAGAAAAAAGATTTCAATTTTTTCAAATTTATTTTTCGCAAAGATTCTATTAAATGATAAGAGAGAAAAAAAATGAATACAACAACAACAACAACAATAAAGTCTTTATATTGTAAATGAAAAAGATAAAAAAATTCAATTTTTAAATGTCCCAAAAAAAAATTTGAAATTTTCTATATATTCCCAAACAATTTGAGAAAATGAATTAGGATCGGGAATAGTTTTTTTTTTGAAATAGGTTTTTGCAAACTATCTTTTCGTATATATATATGCAAAATAGGAACGGTCATATATCAGAAATGTTTATCCCGATTTTTTGGATCAATTACAGGACTTGTCGTCGGTTTTTTTGGGTTGAAAATTTACCCAAAAAAAAATGAAAAATTTTTTTTTTTACAAAATTGAAACTATTGTTCGCCAACGTTTCTGATCACTGATCATAGATCATCAATTTACATGATCAGTGTGTTTGCGTGTGTGTGTGTGTGTGTCGACGGGGCCAAAGTTTATTTTTTCACATAAAATTTTAGACTTGTTTTTTGTTGTTGTTGTTTACATTATTTAAACGATTCAGGATAATCGATTGTTTTCCTAAACAACAAACAACCAATGATGATGGCTTGATTTGCTGTTGTTGTTGTTAAAATTGATTATTGAAAAGTTTTTTTTTGTGATTTTTTATCACAATCATCGACATAATAATAATAATAATGTTATTGATGGTGATGATGATGGTGGTAAAAAATTGTGTTATTTGAATATTGAAAAAAATGATGATGATGAAAATATTGGATCATTTTGCTTTGAATGATGATAATAAAAATAATAATAATAGCGGTAATAGTTGATTAACTTTTTAAAAAATAATGAGTTATTGATTGCAAATCGATACGATTAATATTATCATCTCTTGGTCGTCTCCATTGTCAATGATTATGTGATTTTATTTTGATGGTTGTCATCTTCATTATCATCATCATCATCAATCTATCGTCAATATTAATTCATTGTTGTTGAGTCATTGAAAGTTGCATCTGATTTTATCCATTTTCTGATCGATTATGATGTGAACAATTTTTATTCATTCGATTTTATTTTTCATACTATTTATTTAGATGTTGTTTTGTCATTGATTTTCTTTGAAATTTTTCTCACTTTCTCTCTCTCTCTCTAAACGCAAACAACAACAAAGTCAATAAACAATGCAAATGACTTCATTTTTGTTTGGTTCATTGAACAATGTTGTTGATGATGATGAATCCTGGATCGGTCCATAATATTTGTTAGCCGAATCTTATTTGCATGTATTAAAATCTTAGTTTAGTGTTCAAAAGAATGAGGCAACATTGTAATCAACCAGAGAATGATGGTGAAAAAAAATCTCATTTACAAAAAAAAAAAAAAAAAAAATCTAAACCCAAGATAAGCAATCCATTTTTTTGGAACATAAACCAAGTTTACTGTTTATTGTTTTGTTCTGTTGTTTTTTCGTTTTGTTTTGTTCCAAATACAAACAAAACAAACTATTTAGAATTTGTTGTTTGATGATGATGAAAATTATTATTACAAAAGAAAAAAAAATGTTACACGAATCTACTATAATGAAAATGATGATAAATTTTTTTTCAGTTCAACTTTTCCGATTTATATACATATTAAATAAGGGTTGTAAGTTAATTAATTTTATGTCGCCATTAATTGATGATGATGACATGGTATGTTGCCATGAGTCGGTTGATTCATTCATTTTGTATGGTCGTTGTTTCAAGTGTTTCAAATGATTATTATCGTTCTTTCTGTTTATATATAAATGTACACGACTGGTATTTGTTACGTTTAAAATACAAATACTATTATCTATTATTTTTGGGTAACCGATAATATATACCTTTTACACGAGTTTTATTATTATATATAACGATGATGTTCATGCAAATACTTAGTGTTCCAAATCAAACGAAGAATACACCCGTAAACCCGCCTTTTTTAACAACAATAATGGATCTGTAAATGAAAATATATATGCTTTGTTTGATGTTCATCATTATATACAAAGGGAGTACCGCCTTGGAAATTCGGATCAATATGCGCGTGAATCATAACGACAGAAGGCGACATTATCTGAAAATAAAACACATCTTTATCACTATGGTCCAATCAAAAAATGGTATAAAATGAAAGATTTTCCCATAATAATAATAATAATAATCATAGAGATTCTCAGGATCGTTAACATAACATTTTCAACTTATATTTCTTGACAAGAAAGAAAAAAAAATTGCTTACATTACAATATCATCATCAATCGGTTTGTGTGCATCCTATATCACGATATGGATAACAATAATAAAAATAATAATAATAATAATAACAATATAATGATTCTGAAACGCGCACACGCGTTTTATAATTTACACTATTGAATCTACTATTCTAATAGATATGTCAAAGTATTTTGAACAGAATTTTTTTTTCTCTTTACATAATATTTTCTATGTATAATATGCAAAATAAATCACTTCTATTGTATAGGAGATGAGATGGAATCCCAAACAAACACCAAAAATATTTTTTAAGGGTATATATAATAATGGAAAACCTGTAATACTCATCCATTGATTTCATTTTCATTCAAACACGATAAATGGACAAAATTATGGAAAATGAATCGAATCAAACATTAACCGATGTTGATGATTGTATGGTTCATGCAAAATCAACGAATGGTTCATCATCATCATCATCATCATCGTTTTTAATTCGTGACATTCTTGCTAATAATAATAAAAATCAAACAATAAATACTCATCTGATTCAACAACCTCAACAATATAAACGAGATCAATTATTCAATTGGCTTTTATCATCTAATCAACAGCAGCAACAGCAGCAGCAGCAACAGCTACAGCAACAATTAACATTGACCGATGGCTATAATCAATGGATAAGGAGATCATTTGATTTGGATGATGATCAAAAACAGCAATTGATTGATCATCAATTATTGTTGAACGATCCAATTGTACAGCAACGATTCTATCAGAATCTCTGTTATTATGCTTTACAACAGAAAATGGTCAATACTACTACGGATGGTCAAATATCATCATCATCATCATCATCATCCTCGTCATCGATATCATGTCAGCCGTGCAATTCGAAATTGCAACAAAAATCTTTGGTAAAATCTAAAACGGAGATGGCAATAATTAGCACAAAAGCTAAATCGAAAAATTTGAAACGAATAAATAATAAATCGAAACCATCATTGATTCGTGGACGAACAACAGCAATTAGCAAATCGTATCGAATGAAAAATGAATGTGCAAAAACAACAACAGCGATGGTAAAGTCATCTGATTTTGATGATGATAATAATAATGCCAAAAGAGATGATAAATTAACCAGTTTGGAAATGATAATCAATATGTCAAATGATATAATACAACAACAGCAGCAACAGCAAGATTCGAATTGTCCATTGAAATTGTTATGTTCTTCTGATTCAAATATTGATCAGGATCCAGATATGGCCATTACGTCATCGATAAATTGTAGCCGACAAAAATATCGTAAAATTCGTCGTAATCGTACCGTATTTACTGAGCTTCAATTGATGGGCTTAGAACGTAGATTTGATAGCCAAAAATATCTTTCCACACCCGATAGGTAATCTGATGATTCTTTTTTCCTCATTAAATTAATTAAGATAATGTGATTGGATTAGAACCGATTTGGCACGTGCATTAGGATTAACTCAATTACAAGTAAAAACATGGTATCAAAATCGTCGTATGAAATGGAAAAAACAGGTTAGTGTCAAATCAAGTTTATTTTATAAATCGATTGATTTAATAAATTTATCATTAATAAAAGGTAATGCAAAATGGATGTCCATTTCCGCCAACCAAACCAAAAGGACGACCGAAAAAAGATTCTATTCCAACGTATGGCCTGGAATTTACCAAATCGATTCTTTGTCCAATAATTACTAATGTCGATGATGACGCCATCTAACGAGGAATATTTAATTTTTTTCATTCTTGATTCTAAAATATTGTCAATTTGATTTGATTTTTTTTTTTTATTAAATCAAATTATTATTATGCTATTTAATTTGTCACCAAAATAAATGAATCAAATTAATCAATCATCATCGGAATAAGGAAAGAGTAAAATAGTTTAAAACTGAAATGAAATAAAATATATATTATCCATTTAATTACGAAACTGTTGTGTCATGTGTTGTTTTTTTTTGAATTAGTATTATTGTTAGTTTTAGATGATGTTTATTATATATGTACAAACAAACAAACAAAAAGGTAAAATCAATCGATTAGATAAAAATATGAATAGCAGCAGCAAATGATGATGGCTTTATTATTATATTTTTCGGATGTGTGTGTGTGTGTTTCGCATATAATTTATAAATCTGTATTGGAATATGACAAATTATAATGAAGATAATGACAATGAAAATATAATGATGGTCATTTTTATATATCCAGTTAATGTTTATGTGTGTCTGTGTCTGTGTGTAATGTATTAGGCCACTGGTGACTTAGCCATGAACTGCATTATGTGTTTGTGTATTATTATGAGATGTGTTTGATGTTTATGTTTTCAAAAAAAAAATTTTTTATCAATTCTATTAGTATGTTTCTGTACAAACAAAAAAAATGCAAAATCAATCGATTCGACAAAAATATCAATTTAAATCATCGAAATTAGTGAACAGAGCAGGAAAATTGTTAAAAAGAAAAAATAAATTGTATTGGTTATATGAAATTTATTTATGGTAGAAAAAATTTTCAATTTTGCAAAATATGAATCGGTGTGTGTGTGTGTGTGTATGTGTGAAGCGAAGGTGAGATAAAAGTTAATACAAATTATAGGCAAATTAATAATAAGGATGATATAAAATTATTCTTGTTTTGGACACAAAAATTTTGTGATTGAATTTTTTTGTTTAGAATATTGGAATTCAAATCCGACAAGTTTTTTCAAATACCATTTTGTTTGGGGGTACTTGTAACTTTTATTACATCGTTATCTTTGATGGAATCGTGATTTAGATCATATTTTTGCGGATATCAGTAACCAGCACATCATCAGATTTTTATCGATAAACGATATATCGATATTATAATACTATAGTGAGCGCCTTCCTTCAGCTCAAGGCTACCGGCAGATGAGCAAACTGATTGATTATTTGATTTTATTTTTCAATCAATGTTAATAGTTTCGAAAAATAAAAATTAAAGTATAAGAAAAATTTCGGAAAACAAAACTATTCAGAAGACCGGCTTTTTTTCGTGTATCAAATGCTTTTTATTTATGACAAACTAAGCCAAATCAGGGGTTCTAAAATATTTTCAGTGTAATGATGATAAATGGTGTATGTGTGTGTGTGTGTGTGTGTGTATAGATGACAAATAAAGTTTGGGCGTGAAATTCAATAATAATAATCAGAAATTAAAGTAATAAAAGATTCTTGGATGGATTAATCAATCAATCAATAAAATGGATCGACAAATGACAAAGAGAGAGAGAAAAGAATGAAGAGAAACGAAGCAAGAAATTAAGCAATCACCGAGATCAACAATACGAATATCATCATTGTGAAGCTCATTCCTAATGTTGTAGCATCAGCACTGGTAAAATCTATAAAGAGAAAAGAAAATCGATGAATGGGAAAAAATTTAATTTTAAAAAACAAACATACCGGATGTAGAGAATACAAAAACATCGCTTTTTGTACTACCAAATTCATTAGCCACAACGACATCAACTTCATAGCTTTTATCTTGTGATAAATTTTCCAATAGGTATGTCTGTCGGCGATGTGGTTCTTTAGTTTTAAGTGCTGTTCCATCGGAAACTGTCGGTTCAACATTTATTATTTGCCAATTACCTGGTTGTCCATTTACATGATCAATCTATGTAATAATAATATTTGATAATTGTTAAATGAAGGAATTTTCTCTCTTCACGATATCTGATGAACTTACCTCTCGAACTCTCAATGTTGTGTTTTTGATTGGTGGCTGTGAAAAAGTGACCCATTCCAATTGATAACTGTTGACATAAGAAAAGAAACGCCAAATTATTAAATGTCAAATCAGTTCGACGCCTTGTTCTCACGCCTGATCAATCAATCGACTGATCATTGACACCAAACAAACAAAACTGATTGCCAACACAAATCAATACTTACGTATCACCATTGTTGCTGACTTTTGGACTAGTAAATTTCGGTTTAGATGGTCGGCCAGTCACTAATAAATTATATGAAGAAATATCAAAAAAGTCAGTGAAAGAATAACAAAAATAATTGAAAAAACTGTTGATCAGAAACAGGAACAACAATTTTTGGCTAATAGCTTACCGGCAAAATATGCTTTAGCTTCACCCAAAGAATTAGCCGATAAACAGAAATATTCTTGATGATCTTTGGTTCCAACATTAAAAATGGTCAATGTTGATGAATGTTCATTCATATTACTAAAACCATAACAATGAAAATAATATCATTTAATTAAAAACAACAACAAGGACACATACTTGACAATTTTATGTTTAGTTGAAACATGAATCGGGTTATTAGATGAATAATACCATTCAATTTTGGCTGCTGGATATGCTTCAGCCATACATTTTACTTCAACATCAGTACCCACCGGTCCATGTACAATTTGTTCCGAAAGTGTTATGACTGGTTTGGCTATGAATAAAAACAAAGAAAAAATTAAACAAAATTAGGCCAAATATAATAATAATTAACAAGGGGTGATGGTTAATTGTAATCACAAACCTTGAACAATCACTTTAAATGTATGGGAACGACTACCAATTTCATTACGAGCTTCACCTTTTTGTTAAGTAATGAATTTTTATGAACATTCAAGATTTTTTTTTCATGATGGATTATTATAATGCACGAACACACACACACAAACCACAGTCATATGAGAATTAATTCAACGATGACAACAAAGATGATGATGATGATGATGATGAGGATCATGATTCGGATTAAATTTCAAACATTCATCAAATGTTTGAATGAGATAATGTCACATTCAAGAGAAAAAAAATGAAAAAATGTGATGACAAGCGAAAAAAGAAAATCATACGAAAATTAGTGTCAATCAAATAAACGAAAAAAATGGAAAAAAAAATTAATCCATTATGACAACAACAACAAAAAAACTTACAAGTAACATCACCAGCATCGGATAATTGTATAGTTTCAACAACGAATTCCGTTCGATTCAATTCTATCACTTTTGACTGAGAAAATAACGAAATAGATATAGATAAATTATTGTTATTATTGTTATTTCTCAAAGAAAGAAAAAAGTGGAAAATATTTCCACTGTGGAACTAAATTCTCATTTCAATTCAATCGCATACACACACATTCACACTCACATTATGTTTCCATTGAAATGTTGTTGGTAATAATGATGATGATGTAGCAATGTTACATTGTAATACCAATGGTTGATCCTGTGATACGACCACCTGTATGAGTGTTATTTTGTGACATGATCAGATGACCAAAAGATTATCGATTAATAAGATAAAAGATGATTGGATATGACAAATATTCTTGTATATACCTTATTATCTTTGTTGGCCGGATTCGGTATGATCACTGGTGCAGCTATAAAAATGATTGGATTTTCATATGAAAAAAAATCATAGAAATAAATAGAAAAACTTACTATGCATCGATACATTGTATTGAACCATTCTTGGAGGATTCGAGCTAATCTCACATCTATGTTCGTATCAATGGAAAAGAAAATAAAAAAATTCATCAGTACAATCATAATCATCATCGCTATTTTCATATGTTATTATTTACCTATAAATACCGGTAAGATCATTGGTCAGTCGTTTAATTATAATACCATTGGACATCATATCCTTTTCAACGCCATTTAATTGTAATACGGTTAGATTACCGACATATAAAAATTTTGTATTGAATTTCCACATGAATGCATGTTCACCGAGATCTTTAATCTCACAAGGCAAACCTAAAAATAGACACATGATGATGATGACAATTGATATTCATGATATGAAATGTTGATGAATGATGATGATGATGTGAATTGTGAAAAAATAAATCCGGAAATATAGTAATAATTAATTAGTTAATTAATTAAATAAAAAACAAACAAAAAAAGAAATAGCAAAACAAAAACAATTTGTTAGTGTTGTCATTCTCATCATCATCATCAATGACAATTCATGACTTACGTATTTCAGCATTTTCTCGCTCAACAATATTTCCCTATTTAAATCAAAAAAAAAAGAAAAAAAGATTTAATCACGAATTTTGTAATAGCGAATGTATGAGAACAATAAAAATGAAAGAAAACCAATGAGAAATGAGTAAGATTTAAAGACAACTAAAGTTGTGGCTGATTGGATGAATAAATAAATGTACTTACGCCTTTACTAATGAATACTGGCACTAGGGTAGATATTTTTTCCATATTTTCATCTTCAGCAGCTATAAATAATTGAAAAAAAAACAAAAAATTAATTTTCTTGTCAAATCAAACTAAGAGAAAGCAAGGAAATTGAAAAGCAACATGTGTCAACAATGTCAACCAATGATAACAAAAAATAAACTTGAATCTAAAAAAAAATGTTAAGCTCATGTTAACAAATCAAGAATGATCATCAATGTAAAATGAAACTTGAAAAAAAAGAAAAAAAATTATTCATCCAAATTCAAAGGTGTGGTATGCATAGATTCAATTCATTCATTATTTTCACTTAATTCATATATGATTATTATTCTGTTCTTAATTGATATTCACACACAAACACACCCACCACACATAAACACGCACAATAAAATTAAAATCAAGTGGAACAAAAATAAGAAAAAAAGTCATAAATTATAATGAAAACAAAATCTCACAATAGTTGGTATCATCATCATTATCATGATGTCATCCACAACATCGATGAACAGATGGTCACATATATAAGGTAATAAAATTTGTTTTTCCGAAAAAAAACTGATGGTCACACGAACATCGTCATCATCGACGACGACGACGACGATTATCACGATCCATACGAAAAAAGAACCTTCATATTATTATCGTTTTATAGTAAAAAATTACAAAATGAAATTCCGAAAAAAAGACCTAATTTCTCCGTGTAGGTTTTACTAATTGTATAGTGGAAATTGTTGTTGGCTATTAGTTTTTCAGTTTTGTTCATCCAGTCCCGTTTAGTTTCCTTATTTCTATTTGCCAACTCTTTTCAGGCATATAAATAGCAATCATTTTTATTTGTTCAAAACGAATTGAAATTGACGATTATTATTATGATGATATAATGATGACCATAATTGTCATTTGTATCATTACATTATAATCATGATCATATAATCCAATACATCTTTTTTTTTCGACATATTTGATCTAAAAATTGTAACAAGATTAGAGCATGTTGTGAATTGGCAACAACAACAAGGAAAAAGAGTTTTATGTATGGTATGTCCGCATATTACAAACAATTTTTAACAATCGATGCTTGAAGCAAAGTGTGTTTGAAGCCTGAAAAAACAGTTAATCAATGCATTAAACATAATTTGCTGGGATAAAATTGAAACCTAGATCAACAAAACAATGAATCAATTCAATCAAACGAACAAACCACGGATAAGAAATTAAAATTCATGAGAAAAAAGAGATATATGATATGATAATTCAAAACAGAAGGTGTTTCTGACTAAAATTACATCAAGTATAATGAATGATAATATCATTATCGATGATCATCATGGCATACTAATTTAATGAATATTATAAATCACGAGGAATTTATTTATTCACCGATCACTATTATTTGATAATTAATCGTTGAGAAAAAAAGGAATAAACCTTGATCATTATCATTGAATAACCGGAACTCTACACACATAATAATATTGATAATGTAACAACAACAGATGTTAATTTCAAAACATTAATCGTGATTTCATAAATTGAATGTAAAATTCAATATGAATTATTCAGATGTGAAATGTAATCAAAAGGAAAAAAATAGTGATTCGATACGATCAACAAACAAACAAACAAACAAACAGAAGTACAGTACATGTTCAAATACTTGTTTTGGCCAGATGTGTGTTTGTTTGTTTGTTTTCATCATCATCAACAGAAAACCGAAACGAAAAACAAAATTCGTAAAGAAATGACACATACACACATAAACACAGGTACATGATACATATAAATCAATCAATCATCATAAATTTTGTTCATCTTGTTTTCCTACGGTTATTGTTCAGGTTCATTATTCGGTTGTCAGGGATTAATCTCATAATTTTTTTTTTGATCAACACGGATGCTATTTGTAATGGCAAAATTGTAAAAAAATGATAGAAATTCACACTGATTGGAATAAAAATTAGAATTTCGGTTTCATCGTTAATGAAATATCAATTACAATTTATAAAGAAAGAAATCCAATAAGTAATAACTTTTGACAAACAATAAATGATACAGGATAAGTAACGTGACAACATTATTATATGAGACAAAAATGGAATAACATCAGCATAATAATGATGATGATGATGAACAATCAGAATTGATTTTGATTGATAAACATATCTTGGATCTGACATTGATCATAATGATTACAATTGATAATCGATGAATGAATGATCGATTTTTTCCGATTTCAATTCACCAATCAATACCAAAACAAGCAGATATCATTATCATCACAATCATCATTATGTCTAATGATTGGGGATTTTTCATTTCAAACAAAATTTTACAAAACAGAAAATAAAACTTGAATTCGAACGATCAAATTATTATCATCATTCATTCAGGGTTTGGTCCGAAACAAAATCAGTATAAACGCAAATCATTATCATTTTGAAATTAAATTCAAATAAAACCATGAAAAGAATTTCATGAAAAAAAAATCATAAGTAATCATTTAGCGGATAATTTTCCCCATAACAAACAAACAGCAATACAAAAAAAAGAAAGAGAGAAAAAAAACATAATAATCAATCAAATTGATGAGACCATCGAATCAAAGAGATCGAATTTACAATTGTTCATCATAAATGAGCAACAACAACAACACATAAAACACACGAATGAAATGTGCGTGTGTATTTTCTTGATTTCTCAACAAATTCATGATGATAATGATTAAAAGTAATCATTCGATGATGATGATGATGATCGCTATAATCAAGATTCGATCAGGATCTGATGATGATGAAAATAATAATAATAAAGTTATTAAACCTTAACAGCAAAAAAAATGATTATGATGATGATGAGAAAATGTTATAGGAAATAATAATCCGAACAACAACAATTATGTGGTCGATAATATTTTTTATTTTCGAGAAACCAACAACAATGTGTTGGAAACAAGCCAAGAAAAATAAAGCAAAAAAAATGATTTACGACCGGGTGAAATAAACAGAGATGAACAAAATTAAGCGAGAAAAAAAAATCGTTTCCACTTTTTTTCTTTTACAGATTTTTTTTGTGGGAAAATCGTACGAAAAAAAAAATTCAAAGATTAATAATATTGATTGAAATAAAATCTATCAATCAATTGATCGATAGAGATCCAAAAATTTTACGATGATGATAAGGATTATGGGCACCACTACCATGCCAAATTGGTAAACAAAAACATCAATTTGATACAGAGAAATTTGAAACATCAAATATCAGGTATGAAAAATTAATTTTCATAAACAGAAAAAAAATCATAACCACAATAAAGAATAGAGGCCTTTAAAAAAAATATGAATATGACATGAAAATAAAATGATAAATGAATCGATAGAGGAATGATCAGTTAAGAAAAGCAAGTTATATTTTGTATTTTGTATAATTCTAAAAAATTTGTAGCCAAATAAGTGCAACAAACTGATGACAAATTAACAATCATCTACCATAACCACCTATGGTATGGCGTCATCATGGGTTACTTGAAGGTAATTTTTTTTCGAAAATTTCAACCAATTAATTTCTGACAAACATAAACAATCATTTTGTTTTTTTTTTTGAATATTCAAAATGTCTTCATTATAATAATCATAAATATTTTTTTTTTTTAGAATTAAACCTGTCAACCATTTTGTTGAAAACATTATTTGTTTATCGTAACAGGTCATAGGTCAATAAAACATGTACATCATTCATATTTATTTTTTGTAAAGAATTACCATAATAAATAACCTTTGGCATGGAAGTTAGGAGCAGAAGCCAATGACATTCGACAATAACAGTTACGACAACAACAAGTCAATAATCGATCATGATTTTTTTTCCTATCAAATGTTGACATACACAAACAACCTGTCAAATTGTATTTTTGTTTGTTTTTATATTCATCATAAAAATCATGTAAGGTGTCTATCACAAGGTGCTCCCAAAATACAGATGACAACTGACGAATTCAATACCAATGAAAGATGATGACATAAGCCATATGCAAAAGAAAAAAAAAATGACAAAAAAAACCAGTCACCTCAACTATGTTGACCAAAAATAAGATGAGTAAATTCAAATCCAAAGACAATGTGGAAAGAAGAATGAAATGTCGTGACACAACAACTATGTTTACAAAGACTTACAACCATCCTGGCCGTAATCATAAAGATGATAATTATTGAAATGAAATTGTAAAATAAATAATGGGAAACAACGACATGAATCTTGGCAATTTTTTTCATCTTTATTCCAACCGTTTTTCGACTTAATCAACATGTAATGTTTTATTCTAAATGTTTTTAAGGCAAATTCATAGCTCAATCACATCGCGTGTCACACTTAAGAGATAATATTAATAATATATTAAAAAAATACAGAAAAAACATTTAGCCAAGTCAGCTTATTAATATTAATCCATCAACCAAAAAAAAAAAATCAAAAAGAGAAAGAATAATTATTTTCATATTTTTTTCGCCTCCTGATCATGATGATGATGATGATGATGCGGATGTAAATTAATTCTAACTATAATTCTAATACATTGGAATATTCATCACACACATACATTGAAAAAATGGCTTGAAAAAACGGGAAAATTTTAAACACGACAAATCAACAACAACAACAACAACATAGACAGGGTTATAAATACACACACACACACACACAATCTATGGATCTAACTCTTATTTTGATTATTATATTTGTTTCCATTTCATTAGATTCATCCATAATTTCATCATTTGATGACGATACAGATGAATGAATCATTAAAGGCATCATCATCAATATATAACCGAGTAAGTAGATGGCCGCTAAAGTGCTACGGTAGAAAAGATATATTATGATCATATGAACTAAAATGCACTGAACCAAGCCATACATGATCAGATGTTGAAATGAATCGAGTCGACGTTGTCGTCTTCGTCTTGTATACAAGGTTAATGACCAATTCACATAGAGAATAATCAAGTTGTTTTAACTTTTGCAAGGTTAGCTTAGGAAAGCAAAG